CTAGGCAGGCACGCCTCTCTGCATGCCATGGCGACTCTGCAGGTCTACCAGGCAGCACTGCAGGTCTAATTCGGCTGGTGGCCAGGGTGACCTGAGGCTGACGGTGTGGCACAACCAACCTAGACAGGACCCCAGCGCCTATGACATGTCAATTGCCTCAAGTTGCTGGCAGTACATCTCGCTCTGCACTGCTTCCATGTGTTGCTCAAGAACCAGCATGTACTAGTCCGATCAGACAATTCTGCGAAAGTAGTGTACATCAACCGACAAGGTGGTCTACATTCCCACCGTATGTTGCAACTCGCCCGCCACATCCAATTATGGAGTTAGAAGCATCTAAGGTTGCTTCGAGCCATTTATATCCCGGGAGACCTGAACTGTGCAGCCGACAAGCTCTCACAGCTTCAGCCTCTTACTGAAGAATGGAGACTACATCCCCAGTCGGTCCAGCTGATTTGGGATCAGTTTGGGGATGCACAGGTAGACCTGTTTGCCTCCCACGACTCGTCCCTTTGCAACTTGTTATACTCCCTGACCGAGGGCACGCTCAGCACGGATGCACTGGTGCACAGCTGGTCGCGGTGCCTCAATTAGTATGCGTTTCCCAAAGTCTTCAGACCCTGTGCAAGATGAGGGAGGACGAGGAGCAGGTCATATTGGTTGTGCCTCATTGGCCCACCTGGACCTGGTTTTCCGAACTTGTACTCCTCTCGACAGCACCTCCCTGGCCAATTCCTCTGAGGAAGGACCTCCTTTCTCAGGGATGGGGCACCCTATGGCATCCTTGTCTCGATCTCTGGGACCTCCTCGTGTGGCTCCTGGATGGGACAAGGTTTGAGTACCCTACCACCAGCGGTGCTGGCTACCATCACTTCCGCTAGAGCGTGGTCCACCACACATCGTCTCCTGGTGCAATAATACAAAAAAATCTCTGATCTACTTTTGCCATTGGTTTATCATTTGTTTCGGTAACACTTTATAATAAGGTTTCATTTGTTAACATAAGTAAAATTCATAGTAAAATACATTCATAACATGAACTGACATGAACTACTTATTTTTTAGTCTCAGTGGATGTTAATTTTAACATTTACCAATACATTATTAAATTCAAAAAGTTGTTTATTATTTAATGTAACTGAGTTAGGCCGTGTGTCCACAGCTGAAAACGCCAGACGCTCTGCTGAAGACGTCGTGTTTTGGGCGCTTGAGAGCATTTTGGCAGCACAGCGTTTTTTCCGTTGAGAGGTTTTGTTGCTATGATACAGAATACCTGGAGCCAAGGGGGTAATCCATCGACCGGAAGTTGAAGCCTCGCGGGAGCTGCCGTCTTGTAGCAGACTCCCATTCATTTTGGTGTCACTTTGACAGCGAATAACTCTACATCTGAGGTGTTTGAAGACACCATTTGTCCTTTATTTATTTCAAAAGAAACAATGTATAAAATGCTCCATTACCTTGTAGCTTATGTTATGGCCCCGTAGAAGCAGTTTTAGTGAAAGTAGGCTAACGATTGCGTCATAGCCACGCGACTCTCTGTCGCACAGTCGAGAGATTACCGTATGGACAGGAGAAGAAGCTCGCGCGCAATTGGGGAAACATGGAGGCAAAATTACAAAATAATTAATCAGAATACCTAGCAGAATTGTCTCCTTCTCCTAGCTCATGGACAGCTCCTATTCACACTCTCCGCCTCTGCATGTTTCGGAAGGGAATGATTCAGATTTCTCATGCCATAGCACTAGAAGTCAGACGGGTTGCTCTCGTCACATTACGTAGTCAAGCTCTGTTTGAGTCTGCGCGTCAGGGACGGAAGTGCTAAAAAATCACCAAAAATTGGGCTTCAATCGTCTCAATGGAGTTACAATGAGATCGCTCTGTCCATTTCTTTTACTGTCTATGCCTGCAGCACAGTTTACTTGTAACTGATTTCGGAGATAATTTGTTCGGTTAGCTCTGTTGGTTGATGTCGTTGTACAGAAAGAATGTTGTGACAGTTGGTCAGTGTGGTATTAGTACCACCCCTCCTCCACTGTGATTGGACGGCTGGGTAATAAGTGACATTGATGAGCGCTGTGTTTTATCAAATTTGAATATTTTTCAACTCCCGGCGACCAGTAAAAACGCTGGGCGCTCGGTGCTTCAGCGTGAAAAAAACGCTCAGAGCCTCGTTATGCTCATGACGTTTAAAAAACGTAGCACTTCCATTGAAAACAATTGAAAATGTACGTCAGGCGCTTGGAAATGCTTTGGTGGACACATGGCCTTAACATGAACAATAAACAGTTGTATTTTTGTTAACTAATGTCAACAAAGACAATTACATGGGACATGTGCAGTTGTCATTGTTACTTAATAATGTTAACTAATAGGACCTTATTGCAAAGTGTTACTGTAGTTTTCACATTGACCCATAATAACTAAAATTATTGTCACATGAAAAATCAAGCACTTAAAGCTTCAATAATGAGGGTCTGAGGATGATAAAAAAAGTAAAAAAAAAAAATAAGAATTGAGTTAATAAAAAATAACTCAATAAAAAATAATATAATTACTATATTATATACATAATAATATAATTAATATAAACACAGATTTATTGGACCCCACATTTTAAAACGGTAAGTCAACATGAGAGTTAAGAATAATACTTCTTGTCAGCATGAGGCATAATGATGTCATTTTAAGTCATAATTGGTTTGGTTGACCGCAGGAATTTTTGGTTATCATATGGGGGTGTTATTGAGCAATAGCATAAGACTGCTTTCTTATGATGCATCACATTTGATAGACTGTATTGATTAAGAAGCATCATTTCCATTCTCAGTGTGATTCACAGACACACACCCCCTCCCCCAGTAGTCCCAGAATGTTTGTTGTTGTCATTTAAAATAAATAAAATGTGAGCTCAGACTTGTGGGAGATGTTCCACAGCGTAAAGAGAAAGAATGAGGATGAATTTACACTTTATTCCTGGCAACTAGTTTCCGTACTTTCATTTTAATGTACAGTCTATTCATGGCTACTTGTTGCTGTACTTTCAATGTAATTTTTTACAGTAGTGGTTCTACAAAGGATTACAGGAAATGACAACAGTATTCTAAGACTGCAGTGTGAACATGAGCAGGAATTGACTGTGACGTATAACATGATCTGTGTTACAGTAATGCCATGCTGTATATATTATTTACACACATTAGGGTGTGATGTTGCATAGAGTTGCATGGAGTTCATATTGCAACGTTACTTATTAGTACAATGTCTTGTGGACCACAGAAATAAAGTGTAGGTTTCACTCCAGGTTGAGTCATAATTTCCCAGACTCAGCTCACCAAAACAGCATTAAAAATCCCCAACCATCTGCACTGTGTAGCGTTCAATATTGATACATGTAGTGTAGATTTCAAGATATGATCAGACTTAATAGTCATTAACTATTAATCAGCATTACTTCAGTATTATTCCACAATTCATGACTATTATTTTGTTTTATTTACAGCAGTTTCTTGTATAATGGCATAAAATTATGTACTCATTTGTCTGAAGTAATTTCACTGTAAAAAGCATTTTACAATGTGAAATCAGCACTGCTAAATCCTCTAAAATGTTGTCAGTAGAAATTATTCCAAAATATATTTAATGTAAGAGTATGTAAAGAGAGGGTATGGAGAGGTTTAGAACAACTGCTCTAAATACATTGCATTAAAAAATAATGAATTGTTCCTTTAAAGCTGCAGAAAACGAGCGGGTGCAGAGTCAATACAAATAAATAAATGAAATAAAATGAAAGTGAGAAAGACAAATAAGCTGTGATATACCGTAGGGATAGAGAGAGTCTGAATGCAGTGTTTGTGAATGTGACCTCAGATTACAGATTGCTGTTAAAGATTATCCAGACCCTTGGTCTGTTTAATTCCAACTATAATCCTGCATTCAGTTCATGTTGTTTTTCCACTTTATACCACCTGGCCCATTTCTCCACTGCACATCATTTCATTCACAAGTACAAGCCTCTTTTGTGTGGATGTGCATTGAGAACGTGCTGGCTAGACACTGAGTCCTGGACAACCACAATAAGTAAGATGTGTGGGAGGCCGTGCTGTTAAGAGTCATTCAACCATCAAGAGAACAACCTGCTCCTTAATGTCTGCCACTGTGCTGTTTGTTCTTAGGGGTAAAAAAAAAAAAAAAAAAAACGTACATTTGGAATTGATCTGTTTATCTCTGTGTTTGTCCAGTCACATAATTGATTTTAAAGTGTCCATTTAAAAAAATAATAATAATTCGTTCAATTAATAAGAACCTATAAAAACATTGCCACTATGCTTAATGTATACAATCAACCTCTGGTTTTAGTTTTGCTTTGTGATTTTAGGTTGAGTTAAATGCGGAGAAAATTATTCCAATGTTGTGAAATACTGTATATTTTGTGAGGCGAAACATTCAACTTAATAACTTAAAAAAATATCAATCAGTACAATGATACTTTCTAATGAAATGTCAGACTATTTTTTTGTTGTTTAAGCCTCATATTCTTGCAGTCATTTTCATAGCTCAAAAAATAATAATAATCTTGTATCAGGTTGATATGTTGCTGTGATACATTTTCTAAAGTCACGAGATTTGATTATAATCACCAATTTGATGACCTGTTTGTTTTAAATATTTGGAATCTCAGAGACACTATAGACGTAGCTAAATAAAATTGCTACTATGATAAAATGATCTGCACTAATGTGCAAACTAGATACACTCGTTTATTTTAATGTATTTGTTATACATAATGAAAATATATATGATACCATTTTTACCTCTGACTAAACTTGCAATGTATTTTGGAATGCATGTTATTTAAAAAAAAAAAAAAAACAATTAAATAATTATATGTTAAATATTACCTTTTATTTATTGGCCTCATTTTCTTTTTATAGGTTTGTTTTAATAAACATTTTAGTTCTGCATTCATTACATTCTTAAATAATTTTAAACTTGACATTAGTTTTTATTTTTTTATTTCAATGTTTCTTTATGTGTGTGTGTGTTCTTGGCATCTTTTGCGTCTATTCTCTCTCCTGACAGCTTGCATCACCCACTGAAAGTGTACACATGTGTGGAAAGTTGTAGCACAGTGTATTTTACCCACACAAAATTACGTGGTAGGCCTACGGTCAACCATGAAAAATCTATATCTATAAAAGCTATCTCTTATGACCTTGCCAAAAGCCCTCAAAACCCGGTGTCATAACTAATAGTAGGCCGTGTGCAAGTGTGTTTGTGTGTGTGTGTGTGTGTGTGTGTGTGTTGCCGCTGCGGTTGTACGGCTCTATGGTAGCAAATTGCTTAAACTTATGTCACGAAATAAAAACACGGGTAACCCCAACAACCACGTGCCAGTGGGAAAAGAGCGGAGAGCGCGTCAACACCCATATTTGGAATGTCGGTCTAAGTCAACAGACCATATATGGTGTTTCCGAACGTGACGTCTGTTCCTTATGTGGAAAACGAGGCGTGGCTGTGGCGGAGGAGACGCGATACAAATACTGTTTCCAACCCCTCCTCTACTGTAGAATCACATCTGCTGAGAAATAAAGGGCATTAAAACTAAGCTTTGACGAAATTCAGACGAAGATTATATGGCATTTCGGGTTAAAAACAAAGCAATAGACTAATACTGTGAAAACACACCAGGCCTCTACGGACATAATACTGTTTTGTGTCATCTTTTTTTTGTTATTGTTTATAGCACTTCATTTCCAGAGGACAAAATACGTAACGTTACCCATATACTGAATGCGTTTGATGCAGTGAAGAATATTCGTTTTCCACTCACGGCTGTTTGTTTGTCTGGAGAGGTCATGGGTATCGGCGACCCTCTCGAGATCTCAGGTAGCGAGTTAGTTCATATTTTGCGGACTCCCTCTGAGCTCTTCGCGTCTGGAGGATGTATCGTGTTGGACTGTCGGCCTTTCCTCGGCTTCTCCCGAGCGCACATTATCGAGTCCCGCAACGTCAACTGGAATTCAATGCTGAGACGGAGGTCCAAGAGCTCCGTGGTGTCTCTGGAATGGCTGGTGGCTGATAAGTCTCTCCTGGCCCAGCTCCGGAACGGGGACTTCTCTCCGGTGGTGGTCCTGGATGAAAACAGTCGGTCGGTCAGGGATTTGAAGAGCGAGAGTTTGGCCAGTCTCCTCATCAGTGCCCTTCAGTTAGAGGTCCAGTCTGCCTCGACGCACATATGCTTCTTACAAGGTAAAAAACTAGAAATGTTGTCATTGTTTTTGAGGAATAGAGCTTAAAATCCGTTAAATTGATTTGCTACACGTGCTAGCCCACACACCAAGCAATTGGAACAAATATTTAATGACGTTTTTTTTTTGGAATACTTTAATTTAGTTCTAGGTTGCTATATTTTATATTTCTATAGGTCTATATTTATTTTAAATTGTAAATAAATTTACATTGTTTGACAGGTGACCTAAAAAGTTAAAATATGGTAACACTTGAATTACCTGGAATACTATTATTTAATATATCTCTCAGCCTAAGTTGAATAAATGAATGTAATTATATTTAATAAACACAAATAACTCATGTATATTTAGAAAAAGCAAAATGTGGCAAAAGTTGATTGTACTTTAGGCTACTTCAAAATATTAGTCAGCAACTTTTTTACAGTGTATTTTGTCAAACCCAGAAAATGAACAAATTAACAAAATGTTTTCTCTAACCATTTCTAGGTGGATTTGACGGGTTCTCTGCACTTTATCCAGAGCTCTGCTTTAACACTCCTGTCATGTTCTCAAACAATCCTGCTCTCAGTGAACCAGAGTCCATTGTGTCCGGAAGAAAGACTCCTCTCTACGATCAGGTTGGTGATTAGAAATCTTAAAATCATAATAAATGATACAATGACACTCACAATATCTTTTGAAAATACTCATTGAATTGTATCCTTTTTGATTACCAGGGTGGTCCAGTTGAAATCCTCCCCTTCCTCTTTCTGGGCAGTGCGCATCACTCGTCCAGACGGGATACTCTGGAACGCTGTGGGATCACGGCAGTGCTCAACGTGTCCTCTTCCTGTCCGAACCTGTTTGAGGAGGAACTTCAGTACAAAACTCTGAAGGTGGAGGACAGTCTTGCCGCAGACATACGCGTGCTCTTTCCAGAGGCCATCCATTTTATTGGTAAGTCCTCCTGACTGTAAAAAGAGTTTTCAGAATCCTTCAGAAAGATAACAACGAGCTAAAAACTAACGTTCACCTTCATTGCATCTGCAGATTCGATAAAAGAGAGTGGCGGGCGAGTGCTGGTCCACTGTCATGCAGGAATCTCCCGGTCGGCCACCATCTGCCTGGCGTACCTCATACACGCTCGACGTGTCCGTCTGGACGAGGCCTTTGACTTCGTAAAACGCCGCAGACAAGTCATCTCACCCAATCTAGCTTTCATGGGACAACTTCTGCAGTTCGAGACGGACGTGTTGTGCCCTTATTCTGTACTAGACAGAGAAAACAGTGGCACCGCGTTTTAGTATCAGACAAGAAGTCTTGAACTGGCCGCACTAACTTTCAGATCTACTAGTCGCAGATTTGACCTCGAAGACTGTGACAAATCTACAAAGGTGCTTAAAGGAAGTTTTTTCCTCGATGCTATGGCCGTACAAACTGCACGTGTCAGTTGTGGCAAACAAATTTGGCATCTCACCCTTTAAAACTATAACACCATAGTTGAGCATAACTCAACTTGTTTGGGTAAAGTTGTAGACTGCATCTACCTGTTCGTGATTGTTTATGGCAACACAAACTATAAATAGTGGTCGTTTCCGAACGACCGCTACACTCATTATCCCTCATGGAAAGTGTAATAGTCTCATGTCATTGTGACATTGTGTACTCGACTACTACTGTGATCTTAAAACATCAACCCATCTGAGATATTGATGAAACAGACAAACAACTTCTGTCCCGCCAAACGTCTAATATAGTCCCCTAAAGCGTTTTCATTTAGCCTTCAACAATAGTATATGTTCAGGATGTATTTCTGCAGATCATCATAGATGTTGCATCAGTCAATGTTCCATTGAGTGGTGCTGTGACCATATATGGCTGTTACTTGTGGTTTAGTCTTCTGTGTGGTAAATGTCAAGTTTTTCCATGAAGTTAGTCTAATTGTCTGTCTCAAACATGTTTTAAAGGGCAAAGACCTGACAAACTGTGATCCTAGGTCCTTTTAAAATTAAGTTAAAATTGTGTTGCGATAGATAAAGGCACTAAAGCCATTTTGCTAATGTGTTTTATTTTTTATAAGGTGTTATTTCCTTATTTTTTGTGAATATTTATTTATCTATTTTCATTCACAAGATGCACTTTAAATTCAATTTGTTTTGATAAGATCTTTTGTAAGCTATGTGGTTTACTCATTTCAATATGTAAATAAAATGATGGATTCATTTGTGTAATGCAATACTGAATGTAGTTTTCTTTTTATCTTTTTAAACAAATCAATGTTGTCCTTACACACTGACAGAATCTGGCCTCAAGTGTTCCCAAAGCACCAACTTATGTCCAAATAACCAGAATACATTTAAAAAAAATTCTATTTTACATTTTTTAATGTAATTTATTCCTCTGATAGCAAATCTGAATTTTCAGCATCATCACGTCAGTCTTCAGTCTCACATGATCCTTCAGAAATCATTCTGATTTGCTGCTCAAGAAACATTTCTTATTTTTTTTATATAAAATTTCAAACCAGTTACTTAATATTTTTGTAGAAACTGTAATATATTTTTTAGTATCCTTTGATGAATAGAAAATTTGGTAACACTTTAGTTTACCTTAGTTAACTACTTTAGTTAACATTAACTAAGAAGAATGAACACTACTTCTACAGCATTTATTCATATTAATTTCAACATGAACTAATACATTATTAAAATCAAAGGTTGTATTTGTTAACATTAGTTAATTCACTGTGAACCAACATGAACAAACAACGAACATCTGGATATTTATTATAAATACTGTAACAAATGTATTGCTCATTGTTAGTTCATAATATTGGTTAATAAATTAACTAATGTTAACTAATGAACCTTATTGTAAAGTGTTACCCTTTTGAAACCAGTTGCTTAATATTTTTGTAGACACCGTAATAATATTTTTATGGATCCTTTGATGAATAGAAAATAGAAAAGAACAGCAGTTATTTGAAATATAAATCTTCATCTTTATCAGTTTTAACGTGTCCTTTCTAAAACAAGTTTCAGTTTCTTATAAACAAATATTTTGACATTTAATAACAGTGTGAATTTATTATTTAATTAACATTGGCATACATTGAAGATACGTTCTTGCGGTAATCTTACAAAAGTATTATTATGGAAAAAACAAAACAATTTTGGATTGCCACAGGATACAAGAAGTGTAAATCTTACACCACAGCGCCATCTGCTGATTTTTCATAACAATAGATGGAAATAACACTGAATGTGGATAACAATAGATGGAAACAATCTGAGAGGGAGAGGAGGAAGAGAATGTGAAAGAGTAAGGTGAGGACAGTGTTGTCAAGGCTGTTTTTTCCCTTTGTCTGACAAGAGATGACACTGCCTGTGACCCAACATGAAGAGCTGGTCAACGATTCAGGGTATTTCTCCACCTGTGACCCTAGACGCTGGGACAGGCCCCAGACCTCCGTGACCCTAATAAGGATAAAATGGATTGGATAATGGAATAAAACTCTGAACATCTTCTGAAACAGCTTTGGTGCGATGCTGTCCGCCAAACTTATTTGCTTACAGTGTCCGTTTTAAATCGAAATTTTAATTGGATTCTGCCTGAACTGTTAAACATTGATCCAGTGCCACGAGTTCATATTTCTGAATCACATATTACCCAGTAAATATTTCAGCTGTTAGAACCATTAGACAGCGTTTGTACACATACACACATTATTCTGACAGCAGCATCTAAACAAATAATTTAAATAGTGCTTACCAAAGGCTATTGGAAAATCTGCATGCTGTCCGGGGTTAATTCTTTTTGTGAATGCGCACCCCATCAGCTTGCTCATAATAACAGGAAAATGATGTAAAGGCACAGTTTGCTTTTGTTGTTGGGAATTGAGGTTGTTTCAAATAGCCGTACTACTAATGTGTTGCTCTGCATGATACTGTTTTCATGGCTATCAGAAACTGCATAATTAACAGTTCTAACATGACGTCCACCTCCCTCTCTTATAAATGAACTCCCAAAACATTTCTGAAATAAAATGGTCTGTAATCCAAGTCATAGGCTAGTAAGTTCATAAAAAAATTATCTTATCTATTAAAATAATTTTTTATATACATTATTTGGTTATACTCAAATTAAAATGTCCATTACAAGGCTGTCTGGTTTTGAACTGATACAAGATGATCAGCCGAGCAGACATGGTTACCAGCAGATGAAGATAATCTCAAAATAGCTAATAAGTATAAAAAGTACTAATTAAAATCTACTAAAAAATGCTGGGTTGCTTCAAGCCACATTTTCATCAAAACCATATATATATATTTTTGAACAGAGCCGATCCTGCCCTATAAGCAAGAATCTTAGTTAAAAAAAAAAAAAAAAAAAACTTTTGCTGATAATTTACTCACCCCCATGTCATCCAAGATGTCCATGCCATTCTTTCTTCATTCGAAAAGAAATTAAGGTTTTTGATGAAAACATTCCAGGATTTTTCTCCATATAATGGACTTCAATGGGAACCAAAATATAAGTCCTGATATCAGAAATATAATATATTTTATATTAATATCAATAATTCACATTTTAAATTGAACACATTTAATTATTTATATAAAAATGCATCCTGTGAAGTAATAAAAGCTAAAATGGCTTGCCATTGCATGTCACTGTGTTTTAAACGATGAAAGCAATAGATACTTGAAGGTTATTAATTACTGAGGTATGTGCAGCCATCCATATTGACCAGTAGGACTATGTCCAGCCAATCAACATTCTAAATGCAATAGTCAATATATTGCTGACTTGGACACTAGATAATCATTATCTTGTTTTAAAAGTATGAGCAATGAGGAGTGCCGTCACGCCCATATTGTACTAGTAACTGGTCTCCGTAGATGTTCTACTGTAAAGTGCGTGTTTCATTTCGTGCACGCGCATATGAATGTTAACGCGCGACGCGGGTATCTTTCCGAGCTGCTGCAGCTGCAGTGCAGTTTATAAACAAAAACCGTTGCCCTTTGTATTATCAAATGTAATCTCATGAAAGTGTGTAGGCCTATTAATACCACGAATTTAATTACTCGTGCTTTAAAGCCAAATATGTTTTTTTTTTTTTTTTTTTTTTTTTTTTTGCGTGCTATGTTACGCACTGTAAATCTTTTGGTTAGGATTAGGGGTGTGGAATGCAAAAAAAAAAAAAAAAAACTTTTTTTGGCTTATAAATGGCACGGGAAATTAAATTCGTGGTATAGATATGCGCGTTCATGAGATCGAGCTGGTTCGACATAGCTACAGATAGAGAGAGATGCACATCAATTTAATTGTTCTTAGCTGACATCAAACTTAGAGAGGAGAGAACACAAGTCTGGCTGATTGCTGTTCCCACAATTCACTCACATGGTGTTTTTCTCTCAGTCTCTCTTTTCGTGACCAGAAGGAAGGATAGTTCCGCGTAATTATCTTATCGATGACACGAGGGGGAGGCGGGGCTTTGAGTAGGCTAATTTGCGGGGCCCTATACGCAGTTTGCATAGTGTGCGAGTATTGATCGGCTCTGTTTTTGAACATTGCTTTAACTCATCAAAATAAGTTATACAAGATTCAACAATTTTTTAAGTCACTTTAATGTAATTTAAGTTGATTGAACTTAAAAAATTAAGGCAGCATTTTATTCAGCAATTTTTCTTTTTTACAGTGAGGACTTAATTACATCTTTATATGTTATTTCATAATTGCATAATTGAAATAGCCCATGCACTGTTGAATGTGACAGTATGGTGAATTAAAATTTAATCTATTGAAACTTGTGTCATGTATATTGACATAAATTTGTAATTACATAATGATGAAGCTGCAATTTAGTACAATTAAAATCTGTAAATTTAATAATGAATAACACTACAGTTCAATTTAAATCAAGCACTAAGTGTACTTCTTTTAAGCATGACAAAAGGTTATTAAAACATTATGTTTCAAATTGTACTTTAAGGTAAAACGTTTAATGTGACGTTATTTTAAAGTGCATTTTTTAAAAGTGCATTAAGAAACAGTCATTGAAGTGTACACTTAAGTGATATTATATTGTCAAGTAGCCTTTTGTTAGTGTATTCTACAAGTTCAATACAATTAAGCACACTTCTTTTTCACAAGGGTCGAATTAAAGAGCCTTCCTGATATATCAGTCTATCAAGAAGAAAATTACTTTTCCCCAGAAGGAACATCATGAACTTTTTGAAAGCTATTGGGGAAAAAAAATAATGACAGTAGGCTATATATGAAATGCAGCTTCCAAAGAGAAATTCATCCTCAGGAGTGTCATGGTTTTAAATGGCCTACAGACATGAATGGATAAAAGAACCTGTCATGCAGTGGAAATTGTAACACCCTTTAAGATTTGGATACCTAGCCAAGCAATTTAGTCTATAAGAACAGGCTTTACACAGTATGTCTGAACGTCATCCTGCAACAACTTGCAATAACTCAAGGACTTTTGTATGAATGAAATATAGAACAAAATACATTGTCTGCTGGATTAATGAAGAAATAATTACGTACTAAATAACCATACACTTGCAAAATTATGTTGAGATGTTGACGTTTAAAATAGGCTGTTTTGAAGACATGCCTGTTTGTATTTTGTTGTCCATGAGGGGGCAGCGTTTACCACAGGTTTGTAAATGAACAAAGTAAATCTTTCCAACTATCTATCTATCTATCTATCTATATATCTATCTATCTATCTATCTATCTATCTATCTATCTATCTATCTATCTATCTATCTATCTATCTATCTATCTATCTATCTATCTATCTATCAAAACAGACAAATAGTTCTCTGACTGAATAGTTATAGTTCTCCACTGAAGAGCTCTCTATGCAAAATGCTGCTTCGTGCAAATATTTATTTAATATATTTTTTTGCATACTGGAAATACAGCAACTCATTCGACCCTTTTGACATAATGTCCTGTGTTCTTTGCTAAAAATCACGACGGTAATACAGGTGATTCAGGAAACCGATCCTAATGGATACGCTTGAGGGCTTCTAAATTGCGATTGGGTATATACGTTGCACTTTTTCATCTGAAGAGAGCATTAAACCACTTGATCTTTATGAAATGAAGCGCGAATACGGTGCGGAGGAAGCGCTCGATTGTCACGAGTCCTTTTACGCACGAGAGCGCAGTCTGTGATTAAAGTTTTAAACGTTTCACACAGGTCTCTGTTGCTTTAACAGTCTACTTACGTTTTAATTTGTTGCTTTTTTGTTGGATTAAGCCAACAACAACATGATATGTTGCTGCAGAACAACATCATGGCGCTTTTCAATATCATGCGGTGGTCGAGTTTGTAAACTTCTCAAACGAATACATAGCACAGCAGCATTAATCCTGTACTCCTCATTATGTAAATATCATTAATCGAAATCATTACCTTTATCCATTTTGCATAGCCTACTACAAGCTGTTTGGATTGTTGACCTCTCCAAAATGTATTATTTTAATTGCACCCACTACACGTCTGTATTTTTGTTTTATGCTCTACAATAGAGTTTTATGATAGGTCAGGCTTTTATGTGGGAGGGAAGAGTTGCCTCATGACGCCCGTCCTGACATCACTTATACTGGGGTTTTGAGGAGAACCGCTGCGTAGATATGAATCCAGTGCGGCTCGCGCGATACTTAAAACGGTCACTGAGGCAGTCATGCACGTAGGAGGTATTTAACTTGCTGAAAGAGATACTGTGACTAAAACGGGAGGAACACGGAGGGAGACGGACGACAAGCTGTTATCAGGCATACTTCTTTTTAGTGCTTTGGACATACCCGACACATTTTGGCGTGCGCGCGAATCTTTATTATGCCGACTTTCTACACTCAGGAATGTAACAACGACACAACTACATCAGACTACATCATTAATCAGGGTAGTTGTTGCGCTTAAATTCTTTTTGCAAACTTGTGAAAACTGTGAGGGGAAACTGGCACATCGCCGCGCGCTGCTGCTTGCTCTCTGGAGATTTATATTTAAAGCCTCGCGCTCCGTGGAGGGTTGTGCATCTGGGTAACCTACATTTAAGCATTCCAATTTGTTTTGTAAGAACTAATGAATTTATACCATTTTTTAAATTCTTAACTTGAATATTTGTGTTGAATTACTGTTTTCCAAATAATTTACAAACGCACAATATTGCGCATCTTTTTTATAGTGCCAATTAATATCTCTGTGCCACTCGTTTTTTTTTTTTTTTTTTTTTTTTTTTTTTTTTTTTTTTTTTTTGCACTGGCGGGGATTTTTTTCCCCTCGCATTTCCTTTGTAAATTATTGTTAATTGCAACCGTAAATAATAAATCGTTAGATTTAATCTGACATTTTTTTTTGATGGTTATTATTTAAATCAATTCGTATGTTTCCATAACTGTTCCAAAACTCATGTAATCCATTTATTCATTTTTCTTTAATGTGACGCTAAGTAATAAAATACCAACACTCGCTGAGTTGTGACATAACAATGGCTGCCATATATTTACTGCAGTTAGATATGTATTCATTCGTTTATACGTAAGGGGGTTTATACGTTATATGTAATATTTAACAAAATATCTTCCACTAAGTTCTTAGAGGGGAAAAAAAAACAGCTGAACGAAATTGTTAAAATTATTCAACCCACATTAGGATTAGAGAACATTAGTCCACATACATATTTAGTGGCAGGGCATTGACAGTCATGGATAGCGTGTGCTTTGCTGGCACAGGTCTTCCTGGCCACAACATCAACACCACCGGAGGCACGTCGTCACCCACTTGTAACCAGAGTATGATAAAGCTCGCCCCATACTCTCCAGAAGCCACAGCAATCTTTGCAACAGCCATCACATTGATGATTCTTTTTACAATCGTGGGTAATATTTTTGTCATCATTGCTGTTTTAACAAGCCGCTCACTTAGAGGACCCCAGAATCTCTTCTTGGTCTCACTTGCGGCTGCAGACATCTTGGTAGCCACCCTCATCATCCCGTTTTCGTTGGCCAATGAACTGATGGGATACTGGTATTTTCGTACCGTATGGTGTGAGATTTACCTGGCGTTGGATGTGTTGTTCTGCACTTCCTCTATAGTACACCTGTGCGCCATCAGTCTAGACCGCTACCTGTCCATCTCACGCGCCGTCACATACGGCGCAAAGCGGACGCACAAACGCATCAAATGTGCGATTTTGGTGGTGTGGCTGATATCAGCAGTCATCTCCTTTCCACCGTTACTCTCCATGAACAAGAATAAAGGAGGTGTCGATTCAGATGGGCTGCCACAGTGTCAGCTCAATGACGAGCGCTGGTACATCCTGTACTCCACTATCGGTTCCTTCTTTGCTCCTTGTCTGATTATGATCTTAGTCTACATAAGGATCTACCAGATTGCCAAGCAGCGCACGCGGTGTCCCC